GACTGAGCGACTAAGCACACACACATATGCATGTGTGAATGTTTATAACACACCACCACCATCAATTAGAGATACAAGCACTTGGCATCCTTAGTTTATTCATACAAATCTATGTGATAATCATTTACCTCTTATTTCCTTCTGAAAATCTCCAGGAAGCTACTAACTACTTAAAAAAATTTTCTTTAAATTTTGATTTGGGGTATAGCCAATTAACAATGTTGTGATAATTTCAGGGAAACAGTGAAGGGGATTTAGCCATACACATACATGTACCCATTCTCCCCCCAAATCCCCTCCCATTCAGGCTGCCACATAACATTGAGCAGAGTTCCATGCAGGAAGCTACTAACTTCTAAAAAGTCCCTGCTTCGCCACCACATGCAAACACCAAGTTCAATTTTTCTAGTCTGAGGCTTGTTGGTGAAATATATATGCTTCATCTCACATGGAAAGCATGAGGCCACAGAGATCATCTGCTCTACCTGCAGGAAAACTGGACTAAGAGTGAGACTTCACAATGGAAATTCTAGGAAAAATGTCTAGCTGCAGCAGCAGGCATGGCGACTGGCAGGCATTTTGTCCTAGACAATTTTGCAAATGGGGTGGCAGCCAAGGTGGGATAGGACAGGCGATGACTATGAGTTGGGCATCCTGAACCCCCAGGAGACCTGGCTCTCACAGACAGCTCTTCAGGCAGACTTGGGTCTCGGTTAGGGTCAGCTGGTGCCCTGCCCTCTGGCCCTTCCAGGGAGAGGGTGACCTCCAGCTGGAGGGAACGGCCAAAGTATTGTTTGCAGCTTTGCAGGAAGCTGTTTGAAAGGGTCATTGAAAAGTGATCTTACTAAATCAAGCTGTACTAATATTTTTGTTTCCTTTCGTGCAATGCCATGTTTAAAGACATTAGATGGGGCCTATCTATAAAGCCTGGGAAACAAGTCTGTGTGACTTGAGTTCAGAAAAACAAAAGCATCCTGCTCGTAAAGCACAGAAAACAGAGAAGGTGGGAAGACCTACATCTGTCTCAGAGCAAATCCTTGCTCTTGGCACCTAATGGATATTTGACAAAAAAAAAAACCAAAAACAAACACTTTTTCAAAGAAAGGTCACATATCCTGACAGTTATGCTCAAATGATAAAGAATCTGCCTGCCAATTTAGGAGACACGAGTTTGATCCCTGGGTCAGGAAGATCCCCTGGAGAAGGAAATGGCAACCCACTCCAGTATTCTTGCCTGGGAAGTCCCACGGACAGATGAGCCTGCCATGCTGCAGACACAACTTCTCAAAGTTCTAACAGACTTTTAGAACAAGAAGCAATTATTAATTGTATGGTCTACAACTTATTTTTTAAATAAATGACAAATAACTGTCACTTGTCTGGGATATGTCTTTGTGTAACATTGATGGAGAAGAGAAATTCAGAAACTTGACCTCCCAGATATTCCCAGTCTCCATCCCAAACGATGACACCTGAATTCAGACAAAGTGTTTGAAGAGGTAAAAGCTGGGAACCTGCTGCTCTGTATATGGCGGTCACTGAGCAGATGTTCACCATTCTCCTCTCCATTCAGATGAAACATGGAAGCCCCTCAAACCAGTAAGAATTACTGGATCAAGGAGCAGAGAAAGAATTAACAGAGCATGAAAAGGAGAATTTTCCTCTCTTCACGATGTGATCAAGGATCATCTGTGAAACCCGACTTTTAGAGGAAAGATCCGCAGAAAGATCAGAAAGTAGTTACGTGGATAAGCAAAGAGGCCAGGGCCTCTGAGGAAGGCAGTCTGCCAGGTCTAATGGCTAAACAGCCGGGGCTGGGAGGGGACCCCCGCTCTCCTACAACAGTCTCCCCATAGTTCCTCTGTGCTCTGTAGAAACCCGCAAAGCCTTGGTACTTCCTAAAATGGACAAGCTCTCCACCTAAAGCCAGGGAAAGTACAAGTCAGACAAATGGCTGCTAGTTTTGAACTAAAATGCTAATATCACAACACTGTCTAACATTAGCAAGAAAACGCACTAAAAGCACCACTATTCTTGTAGCTGTAGCAGCAGCTCCAAACCGGCTGCTGCTGGTTTGTAGCCTTTTATGTTTTACATAATTTAAATATTTTGCTGGTGAAATTTCACCTACAAATAGCTGTGAGGGAAATGACTCCTTCAGAAAAGCCTCCATCTTATAAGTGAAAGGCATGTGTAAGTCCCCACTGTTGGGACTGTCTGGAAGGGACCAGCCCTATTGTGGTAGGATCTGAGGAGTTCAGTAATTGCAAAACCCTAAAGCAGGTTGCCACATGAAGCCCAACTGCAAAGATAGTTAAAGAGGTGTAAGGTTTGTAGGATGTGTGTCTGAGGTCATTCTTGCTGGCTCCACTTATTAAATTAACTAAGCCTATTTTCTCAATGAAAGGAAAAAGCAGGCAAACTAGAGATAAAAACTGAGTGCTTACAAATAGACTTCTGGTGTTTTACTTCTCTTTTGACACAAGAAAGCAAGCCTGATTGCCCACTAAGGCAAAAAGCTGACACCTCAGAGGTTCTCTATGAAACTGGACTAGTCAACAGCAGTGATCGTGATAGTAACTGATACTCCTCAGGAGAACTTCTTGGACTTTGGTATACATGAACCACCTGGGGTCTTGTCAGAATGAAAACTGAATCAGGCAATGGGGCCCAAGAGTCTGCATTTCTAACATGCTTACAATGCTGTCGGTCGGCAGAGCACACTCTGAGTAGCAAAGCTATTGCTATAGTTTACTGAGAACTTTCCTTGGTGATTCTTTAATTTGTCTGGGTAGGTGAGAATCTGTAATTCATAGGCTCTTTAGGGAATGTATCTTATTCTAACATGAACTGAACCAATCTTATTGCAAAAAATAGCACTAAGCCAGGTATAAGCCACGTGTCACTCAAAATACAACTGGCTGCCAAGCTCAAGACTACTGATCACTTCTGGGCTTTTCTAGAAATGTTTGCTACTTGCCTGCATATTGAAAGCTCAACAAAAGCCTGTAGTGTAAATGAATGAATGAACACACAAATGAAAGAGGGAAGAAGGAAACTGAGTGACCTTGGCTTCTAGCTGGCCCCTGTGCATATTTAAACTACTTTATTGGTCTTTCTACTGTTCATTTATGGAGATAGGGGAACAGTACAAAACCATCATCAGACATGGTGAGAAAGAGGGAGGGAGGGAGGAGGAAGAGGAAGGGAAAAAAACATGGGCAGTAGCTGACTCTCCACTGAGCGCCAGGTATGGTATTAAGTCCTTTACATAGGCTGTCTACTTAATCTTCTCAAATCTTCCATGAATTTTGGATTACAAAGAGTCCCACTTTACAGACTAGGAAAGTAAACCACAGAGAAGGTTGATAACTCAAGATAACTCGCTTAAGAAGGACGAGGTGGCTCTGGGCCCTGCTGTCTGAACCCCACACTATTGCTTGTGTGTGCTCTTGTCCAAGCTTGTAGATGCTAAAATTGAGGCAGTGAGGTTAGGGAAATTGCTCTAATTAGGAAAATTAGCTAAGTGGCAGAGTAAGGATGCCCACTCCACAGGGAGCCCACTCCACGGTAGCTCCCTTTCTGCTGGACTACACAAGCTGTTAGTATCCCACAGCGGCTTGGCTGTGGAGCCTCTCCACAAAGGGTATTAACACGACTCTAAAGAGCCATAGATATTTTTTTGTGCCTGTGTTTTTATTGTGCTGATACCCCCTAGCACATGGTCGCCATGCGTTTACCAGTTTTGTCCAATTTTTTTTAATTTAAGAGTAAACAAATACCTGTAGTGAATACTGAGATGAAAATTGTTTCTGGAGGGGTAACTTTTTAAAAGTTTCAAGAACATACAAAGAATCTTCATGTACACCTAGTATGTTTTAAAGGCTGGATTAAGAATTGATAGGAGTAGTTAAGAATTCATGAGTCGAGAACTTTGGCACTTAGGAAGCCCTTCCGCCGCACTAACTCATTTGGTTCTCATGTCATCTCTCTGAGGTCAGGCTGGCAGCACCACCCTTGTTCCATCTGTGATACAAATAAGGCTGGAGGGACGTGAAATTCAGAGCCAGAGTTCAGATAGACACCTCTCTCCCCACACATCACTTCCTGGTGCTTAAAGACTTTGCTTTAGTGACAACCAGAAGACTGACCACTAATCAAATATTTTAAATTATATGAATAACATCGTTTGGGTGCTTATCTCGCTAACCATTTTCTTTTTCATTACCCTTAGAGAGTTTAATTAGTGACCATGGCCACATACTCGGCAAGAGTCCTGAGCCACCCAGGGGAACTGCTTGGGAGGCCCACGGGGTGCCACCTGGGCCACCCAGCACACGGATTGAACCCACAACTGGCAAAAGGTCCCCAGCTGAGTGCCTGACTTGAACGTGGAGAACCAAGACACTGACTAGCTCCTTGCAGGGCACGTGTAGGATGGAGTTTCCCAAACCGCAGAAGGAGCCCCCAAAGGAGTTCAAACTCATGAACTTGACTATTCAACAGAAAAAAACACTGGTTTTAGAAATAAAACTATGGGGCCCAAATCCTTACTCTGCCACTTAGCTAATTTTTCTAATTAAAGCAAGTTTCCTAACCTCACTGCCTCAATTTCAGCATTCACAAGATCGGACAAGAACACACAAAAGCAGAGATGGAGGGAAGTACAGAATCTGGCATGCCAGCAGCATGGGGTGTGTGGTGTTTCCAGGCACAGAAAGCCTGCTCCAGAGCCTGGCCCACAGCAAGGCGAGCCTCTGCTTTCACCCAACTCTGAAAAAGCCAAGCAAGGGAGAGTTTGCAAGCGCTAATGGCCTATGAGCAATATGGGGGCATTCTGATTAAAAATCTGCATGGCTCACTGACTGTTACGGATACAAAATAACAGACCAACTTTGTTGCAAATGCTGTCTCTGGCCATAGAGAGTGGATTTTTTTCCTGTGTGTGGCACTCTGCTCTTAAGTTTGTGAATCCCGGGTAGGAAGAATAAAATATTTACCTTTTCCAGGGCCTCTCTGTCGAGTAGTTCTTGCACAGCTAGCAGCTTGATGCTGTAAGAAAAAAATTAAAACCACACTTGAAAACAAAACATTTCACCTCACCAAGCATGAGACAAGTCATGAAAACAAAGGTCTGAAATTTCAGCCTGCATTTCTATACCACCCCCAGTCTGAAGGTGACCTTTGGTTTGAGCTGAAATGACCATTTCAGAACCATCTAAAATGTTTCTAAATTGCAAAAATGATTTTACCATATAATCCAGCAATTCCACTTCTTGGTATATACCCAAAAGAGTTGAAAACAAGGACTCAGATATTTGCACACCCACATTCACAGTAGCATGATTCACAATAGCCAAAAGGTGAAAACAACTTAAATGTACATCAATGGATAAATGGACAAACAAAATACAGTACATACATATGATAAAATATGATTCAGCCTTAAGAGAAGGAAATTCTGGCACTTGCTACAACATACAGGAAACTTGAAGACATCATGCTCAGTGAAATAAACCAGACACAAGAGGACAAATACTGTATGATTCTTCTTACATGAAGTCCCCAGACTTGTCACACCCAAAGAGACTGAAAGTAGATTGGTGGTTGCCAAGGGCTGGGGGAGGGAGGAATGGGGAGTTATTACTTATTGGGTATGGAGTTTCTGTTTGGGAAAATGTTCTGGAGATGCTGGTGACGGTTGCACACAAAGTGAATGTGCTTAATGTCAGCGAAATGTACACTTATTAATGGCTGAAATAGTAAATTTTATGTTGCATACATTTCCCCACAAAAATTTCTAAAAGTAGCTGATAGTTGCTTATGTAAGCAACTTCAATAAATTCAGAGGAATATAAAGAAGAAAACAGCTACCCACGTTCAGCACTAATCTTCCCTTGATGTCCCTGTGGTGAGAACAAATAGCTAAAATCACTCCTTACGAAGACGGCCTGCTCAGCCGCTCATTTGTTACTGCATATGGATGGAGCCCTACTGGGTGCAGGAAGCCAAGAGCACCTGATGACTATGACCTGCTCCCTGCCCACAAGGAGTTCACGGCCTCCTGGAGGCCACACTGAGGGAAAGGGCCAGCGGGGTGACAAGTGGACTGGCTGGGGAGCTGAGAGGAGCCCAGCCTGGCCGAGGGCAGAGGTGGCTTCCTCTAGGAGGGACCAGGTTAGCCTTGCCAGGGGAGGGGACTGGGGAGAAAGGCAACCAAGGACAGAGGCACCAAGGAGGAGAGAAAGGGCTTGGAGTGTATACAACTCGCCAGTTTCCAGTTTAGGGGCCAGAGCCCAGACTTCAGCCAGCAGCTGAGATGAGGGAGTTCAGATGTGAGGGAGCAGGTCCCTTCTGCGATAAGTTGCTTTTAAAGTGTCCTGGGACACAATGAGCAGGCAGCCGGGGCAGGACTGCCCAGCACACAGGAGGAAGTGGGAGCTTGGCGAGATTGTTTAGGGGGCAGGTCAGCTCTCCATGGTGTCGTTCTGCTCCCTCCCCACCCAGCTAATCTGCTTGTGGTCACTGGTCACTGCACCCCTACCAACCTGCACAAGCTCCCCAGAGCAGAAATGGGCCCCACCTGTACCACACACCTCCTTCAAAGGAAGTTATTCCCGTAACAAGTTTCACCTCAATCTACAGAATTCTTAATAATCTCTATACAGAGAGGCAGGCACTGCCCAACCAAATGCAAAGGTTTACTTAAAAGCAAGTTCAGCAAGTGCAATAAAAGTGTTAAAGGCACACAAGAAACCACCACCAACAACAATAATTTAGCAGACATCAGGGCTAGTGGACAAGACCCTGTGCATTCCCTCTGCTCCAGTCACTGAGTTTCCTTCATCTCTTGGATGTGTTTGCTTTTGCGGTTTCTCTGACATGAAAAAGTCTTCCCCAAGACCTTGACAACACCAATTACATCTAATTACATCATTCCAGGCTCAGTACAAATGTTAACCTCTCCAAGCAGCATCCCTGGTCATCTTGGATGTTTTTTTTTTATGTGCACTTATTGGTTGTTGTTTAGTCCCTAAGTCACGTCTGACTCTTTGCGACCCTATGGGTTGTAGCCCACCAGGTTCCCCTGTACAAGGGATTTCCCAGGCAAGAATACTGGAGCAGGTTGCCACTTCCTCCTCAAGGGGATCTTCCCGACTCAGTAATCCAACCCGAGTCTCCTGCACTGGCAGGCAGGTTTTTACCACTGAGCCATCTGGGAAGCCTAAAGCATTTACTGGTCAGGTTGCTTTTGTCTGTTTCCTCTCATGAGCCAGAAAGCTCTTTGAGGCCGGGGGCTCAAGGGTCTTCTCACTACATCTGTGGTGTCTATAACTGACATGAGGGACACCCAGGAATATTTATTTTCTAGCCGCCTATGAGGGCCCAGGGGCTTACAGACCAACTCACTATTGGTATGGACAACTAAAATCACTGGTCAAGCCTCAGTTTCCCCATCTGAAAAGGAAGGCCTTCAATGAGATGGCTCTGTGTGTTTTGTGTTTTCCTCGGGGTGGATAGTGCTACACACATTTGTAGAAATGCCTGCTCTGTCTGGTGGCAGGTCAAAGCTACCAGCCACTCCTCAGCACCCTCTAATTCCCAGTGCACACCTCTAGATTCCAGGTTATCAACATGGACAGCAAGTTACAGGCTAAGGAGAGTCCAGCTGTAACTCAAGTTTCAGAAGCTTAAATTGCTTCTGAAATAACCACTGGAAAATATTTATATTGGAGGAACTTCTAAAACAGTCTCTTGTTCCTGCCCTTCTTTACGGTCATGAAGTCCAATTTAGGATCAGATATCAACAGGTTAGAGAAAAAGATGTAAACACTGTTAATAAACTCAACTCTCTTTTTCTCCCTATTCATAAAGATACTATATTCAAACCACTGTAGAACATGATCTGAAAACCAACAGTCTCAGGCTTTGAATGAAGATGAAATTAAAACAATTTCTGTTGACCCTTTTCAGAGTCAAAATCCAAAGGATGCTATTCCCTGCTTTCACCAGGTTACTTTCCTCTTGAACAGGGATAGCAAATACTTGGCATGTACACTCTCCAACCCTCTTCCCCTCTTTGCATGGAACTTCCCCCTCTAGCTTATATACAGCTTCTAAACGCTTCTGAACGCTTCAGTAAGCCACAGCCAATCCAGTGAAGTTGGCATGTGAGATGAAACCAATTTAACTTCTGCTCTAAAATCAATACCACATAGGATTTGCGTATTGAACGGGAGCAGAAAAAAAATAAAGACCTTTTCACACTACTAAAACCCAGCAACACAAACGAGCTTGCTTTAGGGGCAGGTGGAGAAAAGATAACAGGACACTTAAATATAGATGGTTTGAGGTTCATAATGGAAACAATACATGTTAATCAGAAGTTACTGCTATAGCTGCTCATAACAGCGGATTTCTTCAGAAAGCTCGGGTTTTTTCCTCCTTAGAGTTGTAATCTTCAGGAGTTTCAAGATTTTTCCCGTTACATAACTATCCTACTGTTAGTTCTCACCTTATTGGAAACTGTCCAGGTTTGGAGTATTTGTTTCAGGGTTATGGTATCAGATTCTTCCAGCACATCAGATACTCCCTGGGAGGAAATTTCACACACACGAAGCAGCAATGGACCAGTTGACCAAATCCTCCACTTGACACCTCTAACTTCTTACCCGGGAAGAAATCTCATCTCTCAATTTCAGTTTTGCCCCCCTTCTCTCCCTCCCTTTCTCCATGTCTCTCTCCTTCCTGCCCTCTTTCCATCCTTTTGCTAATTCCACAAACATACACCAGCACCAGGAAACCAAAGATGAATGCATTATCGTTTCTGACCTCAAAGGGGCTAGGATGCTGCTGGGGCACAAGCTATGGGAAGCATGTCTCTCTGAGGCTCTCCAGGTTCCAACGTGGACCAGCAGAGCTGGGCTAAACAGGGCATGACTGTGGGGTGACCTGGTGCTGGGTCAGCATCCTCTGAAAACAGCAGAGCTCCCACCAGATAGAAGCTGCAATTTTCTTTTTCACACTTGACTTCGAGAAGAGAGGCAAGTCACACAAAAGCAGCTGACAGCCATGATTTATTTGGAAAAATGGCCATTTCAAGGCCAAGTTCTGAAGTCAAGATGGGCAACACTTAGAAGGACCTAGAATGCATGCAATTAATGTTTGCTAAGTAAGCTACAAGGAAGTGAAGCGCTTGAGGGCAGATGTCTTATTCAGCTCATTAGTGGCTGGCACAGTGAGGTCTGTAATGGAATTTGAAGTGGTGAAGGGAAACGAGTCAGGTAGACACTGACAGCAAGGAAAAAAAGAAGCAAAGTTAAAGAGAAGATGGAGGCACCCTGTTGCTTAGGGTGGCAGGCTGGATGAACCTCAGTGACCCCTGTAAAGGCAGATAAAAGGTAACTATGTGGATGCACAAAAGCACTTAAAAGAATAAACTCCCAACTATACAGAAACTCTCGCTTCCAGAACAGATTATGACTCACGTGGCACCAGAGTCAAGAATTCACTCTAGCCCACTTTCTCTGAGGATTCTGACACTTTGAGTTTCCATTGCATTTATTAAGTGCCATAGCTTAGTGCATGAGATATAGTAGGTTTCAATAAATGCAGAAAAAGTGTAATACAATGGAGCCAGCATTCACTGCCCAGATAAAGTATTTAAGTGGTAAGTATTATATACCAGGCACTACTGGATGCAGAGGAAACAATGATGTACAATGATACAACGTAGCCTTTGCCTTCAAACTTCTAAGTTTAACAGAGGAATCAGGTAAGTGCATCAGCCAGGTGAAGAGCGCTCTCTAGAGGCAAACTCAGCTGCTACGAAGCCCTTTGGAAGAACGTAATAACACACAGCTGGGAGGCTTCCTGGGAAGTGACTCCCAGGCTGACACTTGCGGGCTTGCAAGGCAGAGAGGTGGGGTGGCAGGAATAGCACAAGGTGGGAGGTCAGGCACCGCCCCCCCGGGACTGCAGAATGACCAGGGAACGTGGGGTGTCCGGGGTGTGGCACACGTGCTCAGAGAGTCTTCTGCAGAAACAAGCAG